CTTCCTTCCTTCCTTCCTTCCTTCCTTCCTTCCTTCCTTCCTTCCTTCCTTCCTTCCTTCCTTCCTCTTAGTATCAGTCTCAGTATAATTGGAAGAATCTAGGTGGAGAAAAATGTCAAGAAGTACAAATGCAGGTTTGGTATATCTGACCTTTTTTCTCTTCAAAACAATAAATGCCAAATAGTTTACAACGACAGCCAGGATGGTTAGAGATTATTTGTGTGCTTAAGTATTTAAGGAAGAAATGTAGTTCAAATTTAAGTGTAATTTAAGTGAAGATTCTGACTGGTGAGAGTCCTAAGTACTTGTAAGGAACCAGCATAAGCTGTGATGTTTACATTTCAGACAACAGAAAATGTGAAAAATCAGAATAGAATGAGGTGGCAAATGATCCCTGATAGGTAATGAGAACATTTGATAACATCAAGGAAGTATCTTGCAACACACAATTGTGTTTGGGTTTTTCATATGGTGTGGTGGCATCCCAGAGAAAGACCCACAATCCACATGTCCTCTCTTTTGATGAAATACAAGATATTTTATATATGCAGGTTTACCTGTATCATTTACCTATTTTACCGAAGACATTTTATTGTTAAAACAGAAGGAGGGAGAATTATCTTGCTCCAGCTGTGTAAATCCTGATAGAAGTATAATCCTCCAGCCTGGAGTGTAATTCTGTACTCAGTCTCATACTCAATTATCATCAGAAGCAGCAGTGTCCTTTACAGAGTGGAGGCTCTGAAAGGTTTTTTTTTCTTCTTTTTTTTTTAAAGAACTGTGAACATTAGTTAACCCATTTACTTCTGAAAAGAGACAACATTGCATTGTGTTAAGAAAATAGACTGTGGGTTTTGCTCTCGGTTTTGTGCCCAGCTCCAGCACTTTCCTATAGTTACAAAATCTTTTTTTTTAAAGATTTTATTTATTTATTTGAGAGAGAGAGAATGGGAGATAGAAAGCACGAGAGGGAAGAGGGTCAGAGGGAGAAGCAGACTCCCTGCTGAGCAGGGAGCCCGATGCGGGACTCGATCCCGGGACTCCTGGATCATGACCTGAGCCGAAGGCAGTCGCTCAACCAACTGAGCCACCCAGGTGCCCTGTAGTTACAAAATCTTAACACAGTAAGACAATAACTTAATTTTCCTGCTCGTCTATAAGGTAGAGGTTGTTATAGCACTTGCTTTATAGGGTTTTTAGGAGGAGTAAATGAGATAATTAAAAAAAGTTTAGTATAACACCTGGCATATGGTTAAAGCACTGAAAATATTATCCATTATCTTCAATTTTATTATTGTTTTATTAATAAAGGGGCTTCACCTGATTTTTCTTTTTGTGGCTTCCTTTCCATGTCATCTTTGCTGAAATCTAACTGTACTCAAAATTAGAGTTTATCTTGTAGAAAATACAATTAAATGAAAGGCCCCCCAAAACCTTTATGTATTATGGACAAAAGCAGCCTATTTGCTCAGAGCTAAAATCATCAGAAAGTCAGTGCCATCCCATTGTGCATTGCCTAAGAACTCCACATGGAAATAGCAAATCTTTTATTTATTTATTTTTTAATGTCAAAGAATTTTAATTAGGTCGTAAAGATTTCTAAACCCTTAAGATACTCATTATAAGATTTTTTACTTTCATAGCAGGAAAAATACTTATTTCAATAATTAACTATGAAGTTTGAAAAACTATAATGTCAGTTGAGGCATGGAAGGAGGGAAGAGACTTCTGGACTAGGAATGGTGGGATTAGGTTTTCATTTTAGGATGTGCTGAGTTGTCCTGTTTGAACCTGGGCCAGTCACCTAAGCTGTCTGAGTCTTAGTTTCTGTCATATGAAATAAGTGAGTTCTAATCTCTACTCTCCCTTTCATATTAAAATTGTGTGATTATAACCAATTCCAGGGCTGGTGCTGAAGCTTTACTGGGAAGATGGTAATTCTATGAACAGATGCAGGGTCAGTTAGAATTTCACAGAGCAGTAATAAGAAATGGTAACCTTCTCTGATTCTTACGCATTTGATAACTAGCAGATGATGACAAGAGCTGTTTACTTCTAACCAATATGCCTTAGAGACTATGATAAGATTAAAGAAATTTATTTTCGTTTCTACCAAAAGGAAAAGCCAAGTTATTTTGGTTCTTTTCTGGATATATAGTGAACTCACCTAAGATGCTCTGTTCTGGTTTTCTGTTCTAATTATTACAGCTAGTCAGGAACCAATTGTGTGGACAGAGGCAATAAGATAGATAGATAGATAGATAGATAGACAGACAGACAGATAGACCGATAAATTCTTATCTACCTACTTACCCACATACATGAAAACTATACTTCCTCTTCCTTATTTGGGTAGAGTTTAGGTTAGGGGTGGGATATTGTGATATGGGAGTACTTGACTCATCTATCTCAGTGTGAGGGATATAGGGGGTACTCACTAAATACTTGTTGAATCAACAAAGAAAGGAATAAAGAACGAGGAATAAAAATATATATGAAAATGGCTCTTTCCATCTTTAATAACCACCTGCTGCAGTGAACACAATGTGCCTTACAAGTTCACTTGCTCACTTCTTAATGGCTCATTGACTCTTTCCTTAACTTCAATTCTCCATCCAACAAATAATCATAGAGACCCCTTGTGTGTTCAGAACTTTGTAAAACTATAAAGACAATAATTACAAATGTGATTCCTGACTTTAAAGAACTTATAAGACAAGAAATGTGGATTTGGAGTCAAAAGTTGGGGATTCAGGACTTGACCCCAGCATCAGTTGGCTTCATGATCTTCATTTAAACGGTCTTGAGTCCTGCTGACATGCAGGGGATGATTCCAACCTCACAGGATTGTTGAGAGGGTCAAATAAGATTATATATATATAGAATAGTGCTCTGTAAAATTGAAAGCACTATAAGCATTACACCAGCTATTAGAAATAATACAAGAGGGTGTGGGCTTAAAGTCTAAGTGTACTGAGGCAAAGAACAGTGAGTAGGGGTGATGAGTATGGACTTCCTGACGAAACTGAGCCTTCATGGGTCCTGGAGGATGAGTAGGGTTTGGATAATCAAGATGAGAGGAGAGCATTCCAGATGGGGAGCATGAAGCATGGAGTGAGAAGTGCCAAACTCAGTCTGATTAAATCAGCTAGTCTTCCTGGAGTACCTGCTGTGAACATCATGCTCTGCTGGGACTTCTCTGGAGAAGAGATT